TATCCACGAATGTAGGCCCACGCAAAACTCTTCTTGGTATTTTCCCAACCGGTTGTTTTCACGTTGAACGATCTCACTAACTACGTCGGAGATAGAATTCCGAAAGAAAGAATGTTACGGAAATATATATTAATATTGTAAAAGTTGTGCCATATGTTTTCCATTCTGTTGCTTGCATAGCAAAATCCGGTGAAGATCGTTTTCTTCCACCTTCAGAATGGTAGCAGTTGGAATACTTTCGTACTGCGCCGCAATACTCTGTTTATGCTCCTCGATAGTTCTCGGTTTTCGGGAATAAACTGTTCGCTTTAGGTATCCCCACTGAAAGAAATGGTGTTGTGCACGGTCAGATAATCGAGCCGTACTTTTCAACGGAAAGGTAAAATATAAGAACAATTTTGCCTATTAAGTTGTTTAAGGCGCCTCATACAAATTTGGTATCTGCTATCCGGCGTTGGAACAACAGTTTGATTTCAACTTGACGGTGCACTGTCACGCAATGCTCTGGTTTTGAGAAGTTTCCTCGACTTTGAATTTGACTGCAGATGGATTGGCCGGGGAGGACCAAAGGAATGGCATTCAAGATCACCTGATCTGTCCCCCTTGAATTTCTTTTTGTGGGGAAATCTAAAGCGAACAGTTTATTCCCGAAAACCGAGAACTATCGAGGAGCATAAACAGAGTATTGCGGCGCAGTACGAAAGTATTCCAACTGCTACCATTCTGAAGGTGGAAGAAAACGATCTTCACCGGATTTTGCTATGCAAGCAACAGAATGGAAAACATATGGCACAACTTTTACAATATTAATATATATTTCCGTAACATTCCTTACTTGATTTACTTGATTCAGGTCTTGGGTGAGAGGAACGAGACGATGGTAAACGATGGAGCAATCGCACTGTATTGTTTAGTGTTTTAATGGTGAAAAGTTCAGTAGCCTCGGTAGGATTGGAACTCACGAATGGATGTCGCCGACGATTTTGTGCAGCTTACGCTGTCCCGTTGAGTTGACTAATGGTTTTCCATTCCATATTAATTAGTTATCGAAATCGAAGATTTGTCAGTGGGAACATAATTGAACACATTGAAAGTGGGAAATTTCATAGGAAATATCATAGGACCACTTCGATTCAATACTTCAAGGGAACCCATTGTAGTGTCAAGTGAATCCAACCAATCGCGTTCTGTTAAGAACACCACAGAGCGATGGACACTTTAGCAGTCACAATTAGCCGATTGAACCGGGTTAATAAAAACTTCATCCAGTTGGAGTGAACTGACTTCTACCTAGACCAGTAGAAGTTTTTTCAGAGAGTTATCGAGTAGGTTGAAAGTTTCCGTGTGGTACGATTTGACTATCAGTCCACCAACCCGGGAATGTTAAATACTCGACCGTTGATCGAGTGAGCTTTCAGCGAGAATAAAGAGGTAATTGACCTCGGTCTGCCGGAAACGCATCATAGCAAGGTAGATCGATAAACTGGTCACTATGTTCCGGCGTGAATGGTAGAATGAATCAATTCTTGAGTGAGTTCAGTCTATGCCCCCAATAACCTAGTGGGTAAATTCCATTGAGGCCTAGGTTCCCTAGAATATAACCGATTCTTGTAAACGAAATGCGATGGCTTGCACATTCATGGCATTAAATGACACACTTGACAAGATACCTAACATTGGTACAGAGACACAATATAAGAATTAGAAGCATTTCGTGTCAATAGTAAGAGTGAGCCTTTAGTCAGTCATCGTCTGCCGGAAGGAAGATTCATTCGCTGTACTTCGCCGATTGACTACTGCATTCTATCCACAATGCTAATGACAACAGCCAGATGCCTACAGCCTCCCTCTTCGTTAATCAGCGTCGGCTCCTAGATTCTTATGCTTAGTGTACCGTTTCTCATAGTTATTCGTAATCCTACAAACGATGATAGCATTGCACCGGAGGCTTAATGGAGTATTAATCCGAGGTAAGTACATTATTCAACCCATGTTTGATTTATTCTTGGTCATCGACTTTCTTCCACAGAATGAGAATGAGTTGTCTTCATGGAAAAGTTCATTAAGATTCCTGGAAATATGGCACTACTTAAACTCCCTTCCGATTCGCTACTCGGCGATTCATTGGGCCGCACTCGGCTGCGTCGACCATAGACTCCAGCTGGTCTACCATCTTCGGATAAGATGGTCATTTTATCGAAAGGAAAAAGGTGAATAAAAATCTAAGCAGAGTATGTGCTCTTGTAAATTTATCACATTTCATCGCGTTTGTAACCCAAAATAAAAAATTGAAACACATTAGGAACACGAGTTAGTAAGCAACCGATTGCTTCAATGTTTCTTGTTAATGCTGAAAATCCTGGTTCGGTTTTATCGGAGACGGCTTTCAAGAGTGTCCTGAATGTGCTCATGAGTCGAACTAAAGGAACAGATGCTTGTCACACCATGACCCAAGTCACAGGAATTCAGATTATGTAACCGGAATATTGCTCTCTGAATCATTTATGTGCACAGTTCGATGACTGGAACGTTTGAACAAAATTTATCTCTCTCTCACACACTAAACATTCCCTTGTACGTAGCCCATATTCACCAAGGCATACACACATGCAAGTCAATGACAAAGATCGCATTTTTCACCAAGACAATTGTGCTTGTTTGAGTCAATAGCGAAAGGTTTGACTGAGGCAGAAATATATAGAGAAAGAATAGTGTGTGTGTGTTTGCGTGTGTGTGAGAGAAACAATAGAGGAGGCGGGGTGTAGCGAGTATAGCAACAAGAACAACAACAACAATGAGGACAACAAGGACTGCGGCAATAACGGGCGATTGGGTGGGGGGGGATGAGGTATCTTGATAGGTGGGTCCGAATGGTGCATTTAGTGGATGAGTGGGGCCTGGGCAAGTTGGAATTGGGGCTGGAGGTTGGGAGGAGAGAGCCATTGTTCGACCAAAGTTTGGTGGGTGGGAATGGACAAAACGAGAGATGGATAAAGAGAGAAAGAAACAAAGAGTTTAAGGCGTGTTCAGATTTTGCGCATAAGGGTTTTCATCAAGCTTCATTTTAAATTCTGTTGTGTTTATAAATGGGGCTGAGAGTAAATAACAAGTTCGCTCCGAGAACGAGAGTAGAGATGTAAATGCGTGTGTCTGTGTGTGTATGTATTGATAGGTGATTGTGGAAATGCGTGTGTAATCTGGCAAAACGAATGATCTCCTCTATGTAGTTCACACTCACTCTCCGTCCCGAGGAGAGGACAAGTCAATTTTATCAAGAGGAGTCATGTGAATTGAATTGAAGGACTGAAGGCTATTTCAACATGGCCGTCCTAGATGTTTCACATGTATACAGAGAGTGGGGGTAGGGAGCGGACGGCAAAGGTATTGTTTGATAGCCTACGTTGTACGTAGATAGGTTCATGGGTATGTGGGAAGGCGGGTTAGGGATGGATTCATTGAGCCACGAAGCGCTCAGCGCGAATAATCGTGAAGCCATTTCTCTTGAGTAAAAAGATCCAAAACACGCTCGGGGAACCGAACCATAAGGACAAGGAAGACAAGCGGAGGATTAGCGAATATTTTAAAATCTGAATTCGCCATAAGCACAACCGCCACCACCACCGCATCCTGAAGCTTTCTCAGTTTAAAATAACTGGTTTCGTATAATTGAGAGCAATGAAGAGTTCTTATCATTCGAAAAAGTTCGTTCACCCTAAAATTCATTGTGAGATATGAATCGACTTGCATGCGGTCCGCATTCATAACACTCTCGTAGTCCTTCAGTCCTGATCGTTTTCTGCTAACTACAAACACGTACGCATATACACCACGTACGTGCAAACGTACACACTCGCGCACCTACTCACACATGCACAGACGTAAGTGGAGTCATTACATCATCACGTTTCGGATGGAAGGATGGGGATAATCAGTTTGAGCATGATTACATCTCATGTAAAGATCGTTTCAGAAACGCGTTATAGAGATGAGTACGAGAAGGTAAGGAATCACTCATTGATTGAAGAAGAGGGTTTTGGAAAGAAGAAGTGATTAAGGTAACAGAAAAAACGTCACGTGATAAGGGATCGAACAATGAAAATGATCAAGCGTGAAAAGAAACAAGTGATAGAGCCGGAATGGGCCCCAAGAGTTCAAAGTCTGAATCGATGGTTAGTTGAACAGATCGGGGCAAAAGAAAGAATAGGGTGTGTATGGGGAGGGGCAAGATAATGGAGTAGTGGGGTGGGAGGCGTGATGTTAAGGGAGTCTTCCTCTGAGGGGCCCACGGAAGCATATACTAAACAGTAGGGCTATGAAAAATAGGGCAGTCCAAAATAGAAATCCCAAGAGACGTGAATGTCTCGACTGGATTTTGAAATGCCTACTGGATGCGAAAGATGGCCGGAACCTGGAGAACCCGGGACAAGAGATCGATTTGGACTGGACAAGATTATTGTGGTCCGGTGGCGGATAGTGCAGAAATTCACGCACAATATCAAGGATACCAAAACCGTTTATTGATCGTGCAGGGAAAATAGACCCGGCTTTGGCCTGCTTCACGCCCGAGTCGGACTCGTTCATATTGGTTAGTGATGACGATGATGAAATCGGGGTGCAGGATTGGGAAGAGGAGTGTGTCGGTAAAGGAGTTTCACACCCCAATAATGAGTGGGTTTTTGATGTTCGCATCTCGGGGGTCGACAGGCTGGATTGTTCTGGTGGCAAACTAGGATCACAAATATTCTTATCATCATCGCAAATTTGTGTGGAACAACTTTCAAAGAGATCATTATCGATGGGATTGTTTGAACTGTCTCTCCGGGCTGATATCACAATTGGTGAATCAAAAGTACCGATCGCGACTGACTGTGCGGGGAAGTTTGGGGATTGGGATCGGTCAGTTTGTTCCGTCAGTACGGTCATCACCAGTGAGTCAGAGTTTGTGTGCTGAGTTAAGAGTGGTTGTGTTGGATCATAGGGGTTCGGGCAAGAGTATTCGGCTAACTCGTTGGAGCTGTCTCGTCGAAAGGAAGTGGGATCACTTGTAGGGAAAAAGACCACTTGGCTTTAGATCCGGAAGCGTCCGAGGCCACGATACTGTAGTTTCCACTATGTTTGATCGGTTTCAAGTCGGTCAGTTGACAGGAACAGGTTTGGGAGGTCTCGTCGAACTGTATACAACTTTCGTCAATCGGCACATGATTGCGTTCCCATTCAACTGTTATGGAAAGATTGAACGGTGTAGTGGAGAACAGATTTGCATAGAGTGATAATAGTAATAATACATCCACATTTTGCTAAAAACACTGTTTAATCCTAATCATACTAGTATCATATTACTGTTTGGCACACAAATCAAACAATTGATTGGCAATAAATGGAAATTCTCTAACTGGTCGCTTCGGTTTATGCGCATTGAGAAAATAATCAATATTTGGAATAGCTATTAGAGAGCTCGACACAACTGATCTATAGTAAACATAAACATAAATAAGATTTTCATAAATCCATGACTTACAAATACAACCACAAATACTCAAGTTGATCTGTAGAAATGCAAATAACAACATTACCCTATGGAAAACCGCTTTGATAACTAGTTGGACGGCGAGGGATGCAGGTTTATCTTCAAAAGGTGATTTCGTTATATACGTTCATTCAACTACCAGGGTGTCTCCAAATTATTTGTTCGAAATCATCATTTCTGTGTCGTTTGATTCCCCACGTATTCGAACCAGGACCCAGTGATAACCGATAATTGCACACGCTTTTCTAATTCATAATCCAACTACTCGATGGAGGTCAACATTTAAACCGTCAATATACATTTTCGGTGCTGACTTTGTACTGATAAAGGCGTTAAAATGAAACGTCCCTCATAAAGCTATTGTATATAATCAGAGTTTATTCCCTATTTGTCTATTTTCCATAGACCCAGAATTGTCACTAATTTAATTAATACATATTTATTATACGTGTGTGTATTATAAGGAGGTGGACGTTGGGGGATAGAAGCGTTACTGAGAGTGTTTTGAAGGTTGATCCAAACACTCACTCGTCATGGGCCGAGGTGTTGAACGAAAGCAGAATCGCACGACTCACCTTTGGTTACAGGAGATTCGGAGAAAGAGCACTCCAGTCGGATTGATTCATTCTCTTTCAGTGTGGTGGATTGTGGGAAAGTGATGAATCGGGGCAGCGGTGGGACCTCGTCGGTGGCTACAGGTACAAGCGAAAGAAGTGATTCAATGGAATAATGAAAGCATGCACATACAAAAAATGAGTGAACTTAATGTATCATTAACTACGCATCATTCACGTAAGACAAAACAGATAGGAGGACTAAAAGTAGACATCAAACTGTGTTTATATTTAGAAAATAATGTTCCATCAAATAATGTTACTCACGGATCACGTGAACATATCCCGTGCTTTGAGCTTTACCCACAGGATTTACTGCGAAGCACTCATACGAACCGGAGTCTTCCGGCAATACCTCCATCAGTTCGAGGCGACTGTATTCATTCTCCTGACTAAATGCATGTCCGCATGTGATTGGGGCACCATCATGCAGCCATGTGATTTCTGGATATGGATTGGCATCTACGCGGCATTCGAGCACCACATTACTTCCTTCGGCTACACTTTGTGAGATCGGATGTTGTCGAAATACGGGAGCAGTTTGTTCCGGTTCCACATAGACAATACGTTCGCGCACCACGGTGGTGGACTTTTGGTCTATGCCATTCACCATGACTTGGTCGTGTTGATCTACCACGGCAGATTCTGTTAGGTTGGCTTCAGTCGGGATAACGGATTCGGAAGCTAAAATGAATGGGACGGAGACCAATATCACAGGTTTCCTTTTAGAACTGGACATCGGATACATATATCAAAGTCGATACAAAGTGTACACGCTGAAGATGCTCAGTTCACCATGATCGTAAAACTAGGCTTGAATCACAATCAGGTATTGTCGATGCTTTTGCTGAAAACGAAATACATCAAAGTGCTATCCGAATAATCGGAACATCCGTCGAACCAACCCAACACATTTGTACATGTAACCACCCCCATTGGGTTCTGAGACCATTGTGTCCTTCCCCCACTCACTTTCAATGGTGACACGTGTTCGGCTGGACGAAGTGCCCATCGAGTTCACGGCCTGCACCTCATACAATCCGGAGTGTTTGGATGTGACGAATTGCACAGTCAGTCGGCTTGTTCGTCCGTCTGAGGATGTGGTGATGTTGAAGTCTGGATCAGAGGTGATATCCTGACGAACAGTGAAACAGCGAAAATAGACGGATTTGGAGCAGTGTGAGGTTAAAACACGGTGTAAGAATATTTGTGTCGTGATCAGGTGGTAATTAAATGGCGATTTATTATGGTCAAAGCAAAAGATCAGCCATAAAACCATCAATACATTATGAGTACTTTTGGGTGTGCGCTCATCACACACGTCAATTCGATTCTATTGAGTACAGATGATATTGGACAGCTCAAATGAAGTAATATACTTAGTGTCCAGTTGTTCGCCGAGCTTGGCAATTGTATTGAGAACGTTTCATCACCAATCGACATGACATCCTCAATGCAGTAACTGAGTAAGTACGTAGGTAAGTAAGTAAGTAATATACTAGCTAGTTTTTCCGAGAAATCAAACTTCAACTTCTCAATACGTTTTGGTGTTAGATATTACAGATACCATTCCATAACCAATCTATTCCTTTCAACCAAAAATTCTACTCAAGGAAAGAGATTGATACACTAATGCATTCATGCTCGAACACTGCGGATTAAGTTTCTCTGGTAATTGATAGCACCTCAGAAACCATCACCATCACCATCGTCAATGTGTTATGCAGCAACTATGTCCGAATAACAATTAAACCAGTCATTCGGCTATTCCTCTTGTGAATAAACTTATATCCATCTTGACCTCAGTCAGATCATCGAGGTCAACTACCTGCAAAATCTAGGACTATGCTACAAAGGGGGAGGGCGTTGCCACTCTGTCCTGTGTGAATTCATCTGCGAGAAGTTTTTCGGAGAACATTATCAATTCATATGTATGTGTGCTGTGGCTGAATGCGAACTGAATCGGAGTTATCGATTTGCATCCGCCGGAACACACATGTTCCTGCCACCTCCCTTNGTCACAATACTGGAACGTGCACGAGTGCGCGAATACGCATCCGACAGGGGAACAAAAGGTGAAAGCGAATCCAGCCAGTGTGTGGAATTCACAGCATCGAGGTATTTGTCATACAGTGTTGTAACCTGTTTTCAAAGACATAATTATGTGGAAAGGGGAGGGAGAGAGCGACTAAAATCCAATGTTAACTCTGGTAAAACACAAATTACATATTCGGCTTCCGTCACAGGAGAATACCCAGAGATGTAAGGTTGATTGGCAGAGAATAATGATCGGAGAAAAGTGATTTATTGGAAACAGTTGTCACCATAGAATTACTCACCACACCATTCAGAAGCCACGTAATGGTTGACGGTGTTTTTGATTCCATAAATATCACACTCAAGTCTAACGATTGACCAGCTTGCAATGTGGGTGGTGCTTTCAACTCTTGCTGAACTCGAGGAGCAGTTTCTTTGGGTGTGGGAGGAGCCTGTTCACTGCTTGTGGTCGAATCTCGACGTTCCACTATATGTTTCAGCGTTCGTGATTCTCTTCGTGTTTCCCAACCGTCTACTGTTTCTCGAACCTCACGAGTCTCGCGGACCTCGCGGATCTCCCGAGTCTCCGAAGCATGACGTTCGGAAATACGAGTCAGTGAATCAAAGCGACTTCTGCTAGCATCTGATCGGTAGCTGGTTGGCTGTTGACTACTTGAACGCAGGCGTCGATCGCCAGTCTGTGCACTAAGGAATCGTCGAACGCGGCTAGCTGTAAGTTTGAGTGAGATAGATGCGAGCGTGGATGTGAGGAAACGAAGTGGGTAACCAGATCGCACCAGGTATCAATTGTTTAGAATAATAAATTACCGTTTACTATTAGTTGAATTGGTGTTGGTATTGTAATGCAATATATGGTAATAAGCATGCTAGTAGTAGCCTGGTAGCAATTATCATTATCTTAGGTATTTTTAAATTAAATCGGAAAAACACAAACACTCCATTGTGTTGTCTACAAAACCAAGCGAATTCAAACGAGTGCCAAATAGAAAGTCAAACATGCTCTGTCGGAGTAACAACCGATGAGCAATCAAAGTTATCTCTCCCCTGGAAAAACGCGATCTCACAAAAATCAGCGACTGAACATTGGTACCTTAGGTAACATTAGAGTGCAGATAATAATCGTTACGATATGTTCTATACTTTTTAGTGAGACGTTTTACCGTTAAATTCACCCTCTAAAAACCGATGTTGAGAACGGAATTAAGAACATCGTTATGCCAACCCGATTTTTGTTTTTACATAAGATGCTTGTTTATTTGATGTAAGAATGATCCGACACAGGTATGATACTATCACCTCCGGGTTGAAATGCTCTCTGTTCAGTGGCTCACTTTNCTTTGCCCCCCCCCCCCCCGCCCCTCCTCATACGCACATAATAAACAAACGGTAGAATTTGCAGATCATAAAACTTGCCTTCAACTATCACTTTACAGCTGGATTCATCTTCACCACGGTTATTTTTAGCCACGCATGAGTAGCGTCCGGAATCTTGTTCGGTACAGCTATACAGTTCCAAAGAACTAATTCCGACCATGGTCTGTATCTCATAGTTTCCATCACCCTTGCGCAATTCACGTCCGTCCTGTGTGATGTAGGAACCAGGTGGGAGGTGGGGGGGGGGGAGAGCAACGGAACACAGTAAATGAATGACTATCACAAATGGATAATGTGCTGATACTACCGTACGTACAGTTGCATTATGACAGACAAGTACACACACGCACGGACCATTCGCCAAAACACAGGCCATAGAATATTTGTATTGTCCGTATATTCGACTGCTGTAATAATTTACGCCTAGCGAACCACTTCACTAGTTCTCCTTGCACCACAGTAAGTCGTGTGTGATTCGTTCTGTAAAACATCGTTTATTCCCCTGTGTGAAGAGCCATTTTTATTATATAGCTTAGTGTGATGAACGGCAGACGCGGTGAATCCCAATAGTCACGAAGATCTGCTGTTCAGTGACGGAAGCCGTCAACCTAAACTTCTGGACTTGGAGTAGGAAATCTCATACGAACCCACCAGGTTAGGTGTCGCATTGAACCGGACGACAGTAAAGGTGCCTACCACCAAAGTTTGCTGGTGGTGGCGGGGCTCGAGCCTCGGAGCAGAGAATCCAAAGCACGCCGGTTGTAAGAATCTTTATTGTATGATTGAAATTACGTACACCGGACCTACCTCCACTCTGTTAAAAACCCAACAATTCATGTGCTGTCCTAACCAACTCCCAGTTTAATGACCTTTGCCCACCAGATCGGAACTCCCTACGTTCCCCTTCCATGGCCGTTCAGTTTGCAGGTTTACGTATTTCCCCTATGATTACCTAACCGCTCCACATAGCAACTTTCGTGTTAATGATCGTGACCCGCTCTTCGTTCAACCTGTTCTCGCAGTCTATTATCTTCACCCCACACAGAAACTGTTTCGTGGTGATTGTCGTAATTATTGTCTTATTGTCGTAATCCATTATCGTCACCCCACACAAAACTATGTCGTATTAACTATCATCATTTGTTCTTCGCTCAATCCATTATCGGTATCGATTATCTCTATCCGACATAGAAACTGTCTCGTGTTATTGTGATCACTTGTTCATCACCCACCCACTATGATTATCCAACCGTCTATTATCACTGTTCATTCTTTGTCGCAATTCAGTTATTTCTTGGCACATGCTACCACCCGCCTTGTGTGTTTAACCTTCCCAGACACCCTCCTCGTGTTTTGTTGTCTATTCTCTCCATTATACCATCTGTCACCCCGCCCCCCGACTTTGGTGTCACTTCGCTATCCCATCCCTGTAATTGGTCCTCTCCACCCTTTAAATAGCGCTGTATCCACATCGCATTCCTCCTCCGATTTCTAAGAGTGTTTTCCTGGCACGTTTGCCCTTGTAGTATCGAACCGATTGTTTTGTCCAGACCGGGTTTCCCCTAATTTGAGGTATGCCGTTGTATTTCCAT